ACGTCCCGTCGGTCGAAATGCGATGGTGATTCGGAAGCCTCGCGAATTTTTATTCGATCTCTCTCGATTCGAACGACTTTTACGACATCTTCCGTCTCGGTTTCCTTCCGTGACGAGTTTCGACGGTCTCTTCGATCCGTGATCCCCCGGTCGTTTCGGTTACGGTACTGCGAGCAGATTTTCCGCTCTTCTCTCGTGGGTTAATGCTAATGACTGCTAATGACGACTCGGGAGGCGAGTCCGGGATCTCGAGGGAAAACGATCCAACAGAAGGCATTTTCCTTCTCGACGAGTCATTCTCCTTCGGCACGAGGTGACATTGAACATGTGCATGTAATCGCGAACTTTTTCCTCTCCGGAGCCTCTCGATGAGGCAGCAACCGGCAGTCCCATCACCCACCGCTGACGCAATCCACCGCTGCCATCACGGACCGCTGCCACGATCCACCGCGACCGTCAACCCGTCCGGCATGCCTGCGGGATCAGAAGGGCCATAGCAGATTGACCAATAAGAAGTCGTGAGTGATGTACGTCCGCATGGCAGAAATCACGGAACAGTTGTAAATCTCTCCCGTTTTGACAGCAGGAACCCGGGACACGGCATTCCTGAACCTCGTACCTCTTTTTCTTCCCTTAACGTTCTTTTTTTCCTCATATATTTTGATCCGTCCTCGTAACCTTGCCAGGCCTCCGGCTGAGATCCCCGGCTTTCTACTAATTGCCCACCGAATCGTCATAAGAATAGTAAATATTTTCCGCATTTGCCGCCCCTCAATTAGTGCTCCGTCTTTAATTGGGAACTGGACGGTATCGTGTAGCTACTTGTATAATTGGTTGTAATGCGGTTATTATTCGGACCGGCCGAACAACTTATTAGGCATGGAAATAAAAAGGAACGGCTTCGTGGCGGTTATCGGATGCGGGAAACCCCTTCGAGTCCGTTTCGGGCACGACTTCGATCGCGTGTGATCGGTCCTCGTTCGCTAAGGTTTATGCTTTAGGTTTTACTTTATATATTTCCTCATTCCGGGTGTCCCCCTGGGTCGATCGACTGCACGAAAGCCGATACATCGATGGAAGTCGCTCGATCTGCCGTTTTAGTCTCGTTCTCGTCGCATCGCTTCGAACGAGAGAAAAAAAAAGTGGACTCGTTGTGCACATTAGAAGCCGATCGATCCCCCTACGGAGCCATCGTCGAAACGACGACGCGCGATGTCATTGGAAAAGAATCTGGCGGAATCCCTCGCCCTCTCTGCTCGTGAAACCATCGAGCACCTCGTGGATGCCTTCCACGCGATGCTTTCCATGTAGTCCTTGGACCTGCACGGAGCAAGCGAGCGTCAATTTTCTCGTTTAAGAACCTGCTCCTCCCCCCCCCCCCCCCCCCCCCCCCCCCCCCCCCGACCCCTCCATTTCCATATGATTTTCCTGCACGGCCCTCCCCCCCTTCCCCCCTCCCCCCCCCGCGTAGCAACCTGATGGGCCTGCGGTGGGGTGAGTCATTATGAATTGGGTCATGCGTACGAGAGCGAGGGGAGTTGGAGGAGGAGGAAGGAGGAGGAGGGGGGGGGGAGGATCGGCATGAAGTTAACAGAGGCAGTGAATTTATTTACACATGCCCGGGCTTGAATGCCAACACCTCCCGGTCGGCTCTCCCGGTTCCCCTCTCTTTCCCCAAACTTAGAATCCCGAAACAATTTCCATCTCTCTGCTCCTTCTCAAAGGAGCTCTGTGTCTCGTGGATCCCCTTCGCAATCATACTTTTAGGATTCTTTCTCGCCACGCGATCCCCGTCACGTGACTGCGCTCCGTCGGCTCGAACGCGGAGCTCTCGGGGAGAAACGGTGGGAAATAAGGCTTCGAGAAACTCGAATTACGCGAATCGAGATCAGATAGGCGACGATTTAGGTGCATCTGTGTTTCGTCCCACGCCTCTGCTTGATTTACGAGAGTTGGTACCAGAGGTACAAGTAGATAATGAGCCTCTATGTGTTCCGTTCAGATCTTATCGAGTCCATTAACTGGCACGGAGAAAAGAAGCCTCCTGATTAGTGGTTTTGATTCATCGAACCTGGACCTGCCGGGCATGTTTGCACATCGTCGAACGACCTGTTCCCCTCAAATAAATATATCTGTGACGTGGAACCTTCGTGACAGCGTGACATTTCCTGGAGTCCTCCGGTCCTGGAAAGTCCACCCGGTGCGATCGGTGTCTGCTCGAGGAATCGGGTAACGCGATCGGAATCGCCCCTTTCTGGTTCGGCGACGTCCGGGGAACGCTCGTGGATGAGGCGATATTTGGGAATTCTGCGAATGCGACCGTCGCTCCATCTTCCTTGCGTCCCGGAGGAACTCGCGATTGGCTCGTTCCCAAGGAAGCAGGAATTCGTATCCGAACGGGCATTCCAGCGAATCGCACGTTCGAATCGGGAGGAAACGCGCCGTCGCGTGCTTTTCCGCGAGATCCGTCCGTCTCCTCGTTGACGCCGCGATGGAGTCGTTTCGCCGCATCGCGTTTCGCGGTCGGGTCACGCCGGATGCCCGAATCGAGAGCCCTGCCGAGTCCGCCGCCTTTGCCACGCCGACGCCCGTCCGCTCTCGCCGAGAGAGGATTCACCTGCGAGGGACCTTTTCCATCGCCGAATCTCTCATTCGGCATACATACATGCATCCTCTCGTCTTTCAATTTTTTTTTTTCCCCTGCGGATTCCGTTTCGATATTTGAACGATCCGAAGTAGAAATGCACGAGGCGGTCGTTCGGAGAACCGGATCGCAACGGAGTTACGCCGCGGAATTTATCCTTGAAATAGCAAAGTCCAAGGACTTTGCCATTTCAAGGATTTCTATACGAGGATTTCTTGGACTTTTAGCGATTGCTTGGGACGTCTCGGTACCGATGCCGCCTTCTAGGAATCAAATATAAAGAGAGGGAGACGTCGTGTTTTTTAACTTCCTCGTACGGGGGGCGATTGCATCGTACCGGTTGAAAATGGCACGATTCGTGTATCCTTGAAACCAGGAACGGAGAGCGCGACTACCTGTAAGAAATGCCAAAAATATTTTGCATCTGCGTGGGATTCGCGTCCAAACGTTCCGTCCTTTCAGAGGCTCCGGAGGAAACCGTCGCACGGATCGGAATCGCTTCTCCAGTCGCAGAACGGGTTCCTTTACGGGCGTGTCCCGTGGTCATTGTGAAAATTTTGCGGTACTGTCACCGATGAATTTCCGCGTCGAGAGAAACTTTTCGCGATCTAAAAAATGCCAGCTGCGAGGTGCACGTCATCGTGTTGTCACAACCCGGTGGCAATAAGTTCCCCACGTGTGCTTCTGAATATTGCCGAGTTTCCCATTCCTAGCTTCATAGGCGTGACATGCATAACGGATTCAAATGATATCGTGTTTTAAAAATCCCGGCGTGTTTTCCAAACATCGGAAGCTCTAAAATGCGCGAAATCGGTTTCTCCGCGGAGTAAAATAGTTGTAAATCGTCACTCATGGCGGGAATTCGATATCAATAATGCCATATCGCATCTGCAGACAATAGAGACTTCATTGCCGGGCCGAGGCCGATGACGAATGAATGGATACTCGAAATGCGGAGTATTTAAAAGGAATACTCGAAGGATCTCCCTAAATTGCTTCGATTTCAGTCGGAGAACTCGAGCACATTTCAGGTTATTTTTTCTCTGCGAGACGAGGATTCCTCAAGGTCCCATGATCAATCTTCAAAAAGGATTCCTCGGATTCTTTTTTTTATTTAAAATCCTTTCCATCTGGCCGGCGGCTTCATCTTGCACTTCGAGAACGGATTCCGCGTCGGTCCGATCCGACGGTCGTTCGTGCCGACTCGACGGTCGTTTGTCGAAGTCGTTGCCATAAATCGGTACGAGTCGTACACCTTTCCGGTATAAATCTCCGGAGCGAAAAGCGATTGGTTCTCGGAACGGACTTGACTCCGGGGATAGGCGGTCTCGGACTCGACTCCGGGGATAGGCGGTCTTCCGTCATGGCCCCTCCCTTCACGCGAAACCAGTACTCTGTAATCAACGCGATTTTCTCGCAAGAAAAAGATGAGCTCTCCGCCATGTTGGCAGATGGGATGGAACCGTGATGGATGGCCGGAGGAACTCATTGTTGGGAACCGGCCAATGGGAATGCTAATGCGATTTTGATGACAGGTTTGAGGCCCAGATAATAAGCAGTTCGAGCGGGAACCCCCAACTCCATTATTAGCGGTTTGGACGCACTTCATCAATATTCCACGGGTCCGGGGCCGAGTAGACACCGCCGTGTTTTCTTTTCTCCTCCGCTCGGGTCGTCCTCCTCCGTCTTCCTTCCGCGCGATCCATCAGCGTCGCGCCTTATGATTAATTACGAGCTAATGGAGGGTGCCCGTACGTGCATGGGCACGGGGGATCGATGGGTCCTGGATCTTTGGGAACTTCCACATTCGCTCCTTTCGATGCAGTCCATTCGGATGGGACGGGGATGACGGATGGCCGGGGCCCGGAATTCCCACCGCGTTCCCCTTTCGGCGGCGACGATCGAAGGGCCCGATGCGGTGTCGCGGTGAGACGCGTCGACCCGTCGCAGATAAATATGGGGTTCTTGGATAAATATGGGAATTTCTACTTCGAATCGTCGGTCTTACCTTTAATCCTTCCCGGAAAAAGTGCCGCATGGAACTCTCAGCCGTGATCATTTTTTTAAAAACCCTTTTATACATTTTTATTCTGATGGTTTCCACGAAATCCTTCGGTTCGCGTCAACAGCCAGATGGTATTGCATAACGCGCAGTCGACGATTCTAAACGAATCCCAGGCCTCCAATTAGATCTAATCCGTCAGATCAATTGTGAAATGCTTCGTTTATCGTCGACGTTCGAGCGATCCCACTCGGTAATCGCGTGGGGCAATAAAGAGATTCATTCAAGGAAAGTGGCTTCATCACGCCAACGAGCTTTTGAAATAGTCGCCAGCCGAACGGAAAGGGTTGCAAGATGGCCTGTAACCTCCGGTAAATGAGAGACCAGTTCTCCTTCCCTTCCCCTAATATAGGAGACCAATAAAATCCAAAGGCTCGTTCGATAAATTATTTACCGAGGCTCATTCGTATGATCGCCGCGAAACGGCGGCTCTTTCTTTTGTCTCCTTCACAACACAATCCCTCGTTTTGACAAATCGCCGCGGCGAAGTTCTAGACTGCCTTGACCTATAGAGACGTCTCGTGTCTTTTCTTTTCCGTTGGAGGTGCCGTGAATGCGAACGGGGAGACGAAGCGGCAGCGGACGTCGTACACTCGGTACCAGACCCTGGAACTGGAGAAAGAATTCCATTTCAATCGGTACCTGACACGGAGGAGGCGGATCGAGATCGCCCACGCCCTGTGTCTCACGGAGCGCCAGATCAAGATCTGGTTCCAGAACCGCCGGATGAAGTGGAAGAAGGAGCACAAGATGGCTCAGATGAGTGCTCTCCACCACCACCACCACCCCGGGATGGGCCCTCACTTATCGGACTTGACCGGTGAAGGAAAGTGACTGGTGCAGGAATACCCCTCTCACTCGGCATACGCTGCGGGCGCCGCCGGGCCCCAATGGCCCGGTCCCCCGCAGCACCCGTACGGCGTGTGAAGACGAACTTTCGCGCCGCGAACAACATCTCGCCGTTTGTGAGCCTTTTGTGCCGGACACGCGCCTCGCCCCGTCGATGTCATTGATATTCGGCGAGGCTCGTGAGTCGGCACAGGAGAGGGGTATTCCCACCGTCATTTAAAAAAAAAAAGAAAGTCACTTTTTTTTGCGTTCGTGTTTCGTCCCTTTGCGATATCTCGAGTCATAGATGAAATCTTCTCACCCGGTATGAGAGTGTGCTCTTTTTTCCCCCTCCCTTTAAAATTTGATTTTTTTTCTCTCGAAAATTTGATCGTTCTGGGAAGGGGGAAAAAATTTCCCCCCTCGCGACACTGCTCGTCTTCGGAGTTTCTCTTCGCCATCGAACCCATCCGGCCTCTGTTTCTCATTCCGGAACCGGTTTTTCATTTTATGCCACTTATCCGGTGAAATCTACCGAGAGTCTCGGTTTAACTATCATTACCCGATCCGGTTGCTCAAGCAAAACTAAGTTCGGAATCGCGAATCCCCCCCCGACAGCTGCAATTTCCACTTCGATGTTTGCTGGTTTTCCTATGGAAACGGCGTGAGAGACGATTTTCGTTCCCTTCCTTCTAAGTGTCGTGCGTCCGTCGATGTTCCTCTAGATTCTCCCTCCCTCCGCGTGTGTCTCTCTCTTTAATTTATCTCACGACCTGGGAGAGAGAGTACAGCATGTACAGTATTATTTGTATGGGCACAAGAATTGCCATTGTTGTCTTGCCATCCTTACCAAAACTTGCTCAGTGATATGTACCATGGAAAGAGAGAGAGAGAGAGAGAAAGTGAGAGAGAGAAAGAGAGAGAGAGAGGGAGGCATAGCATTATTACGGAAGAGACTCAAAAGGTATCGACGTAGAATTTCCGAGTCAAGTGCTTTAGCTGAGATAATCCCTTTCTTATGCTACTTCGTGCCGATGTGATTACGAAGACGGTGACATTTTGACCAGCTTCCAGAGTTTCCCCTCGATTCCTTTCGGATTCTCCTCTTCCAAAATAATAAAAAAAATAAATAAATAAATAGACAGGAATATCGTTTGATTTTCCCCTCGTCTTCGTTCGTCGTGTCGGTCTCTCCTCGAGATCTTATAATGACGTCATGATTTCAGAGCACTGTGATTGATAGACATAATAATTCTCTTGTTTTTTTTTTGCCTTCTTCTCTGATGGAAGTGTATCTTTTTTGGCACAAGTTTGTTTCTTGATCCGCTGGTGGACTAAGAAATGGATCAGGCACTATATTGGAAAGAAAAAGAGAAATCTTGCATGTGACTTGTAAATAAAGCGAAGGATTCACAACCCTCCTAACACGCGTTGCATTTTTGGGGGGGAAAGGGGTTTTCGGAATGAGCTCATCGAGGATGTCCATCGAGCGATGAGCTCATCGAAGATGATGGAGTTTGTGGCACTTTGGCCGTCGAGAATGAAGCGAACGAACAACGCTGCAAACGCGATCACTACCGATTGCACTTCTGAAAGTTAACTCCGCAAGGTTTTTTGGTAACTCTTGTATAAAGTTAATAACACTGAACTTAAAAAATTTTTAAACTTAAAAATCATGAGCAGTTTAAAGGATTTATATAAACACTAGCAGAGGTACCCATCATTTCCCGGGTAAATTCAATATATCAATATTTGATGCATGACAAATTGGGGAACGTTAGCCCTACGGTTTCCTATAAATTACCGATCTTGGGTGTCGCAAAATGCGCTCGGACCCCTATCCCTTTTTAAACTATTTTTTAACGCTTTGAATAATTCGAAATTATTTGAATAATTATTTTGGAGTGAAAAAACTTATTGGTAAAAAGTTTTTATCGTTTTGAAACATATTTCGCTGAAAACTTGATCGAAAGAATATTACTTACTACCTACTGTAGTGATCCAACAATGGATTACCCCGGGGTACTGTAATGCAGATGGCCGAGAGGGGAGAGTTGAATGGCATGAGTGGACGTAAAAAAAAAAAAAAAAAAAAAAGCAGGGGACGGCCGGTCGAGAGAAGGAAAAAGGAAACATTTTTGTCGCCGCCGAAGGAACGAAACGGCGACGATCTGCACGATGGAGTCGAGCGAATCCGTTCCAGAACTTGCAAATTTCAACTTTCGGAAGATTGTCTCGATCAGCGATCGAGCGTGACACGGTGTGGCTCGTGTTGAGGGTGAAACGCTGCACGAAGCAACTTTAATGCTGCACACTGTTTGTGAGACAGGTGAGACAGCTCGAATTGATTCCGTCGAGGCTGTCGGCGCTCTCCGCGCGAAAAAATTCTCGGCCAACTTTTTCGATATCGCAAGATGCTCTCGGTGCGGGCGAATCATTTTTCTTTAGAGAAAAGGAAGGTTTCTTCTTTTTTTTTCTCTCTCGCGTTCGCAGACTTTGGACGTCGGCGAAATGCGAATCCGCTCGTCTCCCTCAAAGTCATGCAAAAGAATTGCTGAGCGGGGAGGTTTCGCCGGCAAAACCCAACTTCACAAGGCAAATCCTAGTGCAATTTCTAGTGCACTTCCTAGTGCAAATCCTAGTGCACGACAGATTAAAAAAAAAGGAAGCAGAAATGAGAAATAATTAGCTTTCTCGCCCTTTTCCTTCTTCTTCGCCATTTATTTGCCTTTTTCGTCTGTAATGGGGCCACTTCACTTTTCCGTTCGTAATGGGGCCACTCCGCGGACCCGACTCGACCTCGCCACCGCCGAGGGAAGGACAAAGGGACGCTTAACGTCCTTTTGTCCTTTTCTCTCGTGTTCTTGTCAGCGGGCCAGATCACTCTCGCTCCTCTCGTTTCCCGATCCTCGACGAGGGACGAGTTCTTTCATTCAATCGTGCCAAACCAATCGCAGATTTCAGCGAAACTTGCGCAAATTTCGATATTTTTTTTTGCCGAGTCGAGAACGATTTGGCAGACTCGACTGGGAAACCCGTGACAGATCGAAGATCCCGGATCCCCGATCCTCGATCCCGGATCCCCGATCCTCGATCCCGGATCCCCGATCCTCGATCCCCGATCCCCGATCGGACGGCGAAGGCCGAGATAAGGCAAGAGGATAAGCAAGACTAATTCTCTCTCGCGGCCGATACGATCGAGACCGCATTGCGTAACAATCGTCAGTGCGTGCAAGGAAGTTCCTCGTTAGCCGTCCGAACGTCGAGGAATGTCGGAGAATGTCGGAGAATGTCACCAGGAAGACATTCTACTTCCAGTAAGGAATAATCTAAGGGTGATTAATCGTCGGAATGGATCGTGAATCACGTTCGATCGAGATCCGGAAGATTTCCACGGGAGATTCCGTTCCGACCTTCCGTTCTCCTTCGTTCCGTTCCGGTCTTCAGTTCCGTTCCGTTTCGACTGCGAAAACGGGTTCGCTTTCGATTCGCTCGAAATTCGATGGAGAACGCGGAACCCCACGAGTCGAGCCCCGCCAACGGGGCAACGTCGCGACGGTGGACCGAGTCCATTTTTCTGGTTAATGGGGTCCCTCAGGAATCGGCTCGAACAGAGTTCGTCTCGTCCCCGTCGTCCTCGTCGTCTCCGTCGTCCCCGTCGACCCCAGCGACCCAAATGAGACCAGAATGGACCCAAACGGATTCGCTCCTCTTCCTCCGTCAACTTCGAGCACGGAAATGTGTCATTTGAGGGAAAGAAAACTTGGTGTCGAGTGAAGGAAGCCACCGAGTCTGGTTCATGACTCCGATCTGACCGAGTCAACCGATCGACCACGACCACGTCGAACGAGTCAACAAAACGTCCCCACGGATCCCCCCCCGCCCCGATCGACCCCCGATCGACGACGGGACGCGTCGATCCCCACGTCCCCGGTCCACCCCGGTGCACCTGCGGTACCCCCCACAGCATGGGGCGACCCGGCATGGGGCGACCCTGCATGGGGCGACCCATTCCTAACGACGTCCCATCGCGGCGGCCACAAAAGCCACACGGAGGCAAATCCACGTGGATCCTTTTTGCCCGGGTGGTCGCCGTGATGGATGTCGCAGATATTAATCCCTTCGCGGGAGAGAGAAAAAACAATATGCCCCGCGATCGCTAATTATGCTAATTATTCTCTAATTAGCGGTTCCCCGCCCGGCCGCCCATCACTTGTGGATTTCCTCTTCTGTTCTTTCTTCCTTCGTTCCATCGTGAAAGTGCGGGAATACCCCCCCCCCCCTCCCCTCCCCCCCTCCCCCCGCTTTCACCGATTGCGACACGAGGCGAAGAGAGGAACGCAATTTGCCATCTTTTTGGCGAATTGCATCAGAATACAGATCGACTGGCAATAACATCTGCGAGGTTGCGGCGAGGGCCGATCGACGAAACGAGTTGCATCACGACGCTCAAAACTTTGATCGAAAATTTTCGAGCGGAGCGAAATGAATTCGGCCTCGAAGAGAGGCGAAAGAAATTTAATCGCGAAGACGAAAAAAGAAATTTTCACCCGGAGAAAGACGGAATGAATTCGGCCGAGGGAGAAGCCGGCTTCGTTCCGCACGGGCACTCGGTGTGTCCGGCAGCCTTTCCCACCGCCTTTTTTTTTTAATGGGATTTTTTTCTCGAGACACGGACAAAGCGCCGGGACATCTCATTCTCAGGATCATTCATCGATGGACCGGGGGGGGGGGAAGGGGGGAGGGGAGAAAACCGAGATGACAGCTTTATGGATGCCTCCGCATTGAAAGGAAACCCGCAAGTGTGTGTCCATCTATTCATATCCTCTTACATGGATTAATTAAGGCTTTCAATGCCGAAAGAGGATCGGACCCGGACGGAAGAAAGAACGAGGAATTACGCACGGACACCAATAGCCTCCATCTTTCCCTCAGTCTTTATTAAAACTAGATTCCACCCCGCCCCACCGTGCCCCACCCTGTCCCACCGTGCCCCACCGTGCCCCACCGAGCGCGATGGCCTCCATGCAGAATTTCGGGTTTCTTTTCTCGCTCGATAGAGTGTTCCCTCTCGGAATCTGCACGCTTCATCTCCCGGCTTTCATCTGCGATGAGCGAAAATATAGCGAGGACACGTGAGGTCGATCTCCCGAAACCTTTTATATATATTGGTACGACTACTCTCTCGATCGAGCGGTCATTCCGGGAAAATAAATTAGGAGGGAAACGCGGGTTGTTGCGTTGGAAAAAAAAAAGTTTCCTCGATTCCTTCTCGGTTCCCTCAATTCTCTCTCGGTTTCCTCGGTTCCCGATATTTTTGGGCATCTTTGTCCATCCGAGACTTCCGGAATACGAATTAAAAAGCACGACGCATACGTCGAGTTTTATGGGATAGAAATGAAAGAATCCGTGGATTGAGTCTTGAGACCCTTGCGATGGAGAACGAAACCTTGACGGACCCTTAAGATGTGGAAATCCTGCTGCTGGAAACTCACGATCCCGAAAGAGGGTCCCCATTCTCGTATGGGACGATCACGAATCCTAGAGAGAGAGTACGCACCGGAGTACACGAGGGTACACCGGGGTACACGAGGGTGCACACTCTTACATACGATTTCGTGGAATTCGGTCGAGGGGGGGGTGATCGGAAGACTCGGCCTTCCCGCTTCTCCTCGGGTGTTTTCCTTGAGGGGCCTTGGGTGATTTCGTCGGCCGATGACAGACTCCCGATATCCCGAAGCTACAAGATGGATTCGGGATCCAAACGGATGCGAACTGGACCGAACGGGACCGAACACCCCAAAGGAAGGAGTGAAGGAGAAGAGAGCAGGTCAGGTGCACGAAGGAGATGGGAAGAGGATGGTTTAGGATGGAGGAAGAAGGATGGAGGAAGAAGGATGGAGGAAGATGGATGGAAGAAGAAGGATGGAGGAGGATGGGAGGAGGAAGGAAGAGTTTTAATGCGGGATCGCATCCGAATGCAGTCGAGGTTCGTCGCGTTCGGGCGCGGTCTCGCGGGGGAGGGGGGGGAGGGAGGGGGGGGACGGACCTCGAGGCTGCGGTCGACGAGGAAGCGGTCTGTCCCATTTTCCGCGGTGGGAACGGGCAGGCGGCGAGCCTTTTCCCGAGGATTCCGCACGAATTTGCCCATCGGTTTCGGCAATACCGTCGGCATTTCTGCGATTCGGCGTTTCGCAGCCGACGGATTCCGAGCCGCATTCAGCCGCCGAACCGCGAGAGGAATCTCGCCGGATCCGGTTCGCGTTCCCGGATTTCGACGCGAGCAAAATCGGTGGAATTTCGTGCGTGAGAATCTGCACGAAAAGCGCCGGAGGGGAGTTTCCTGGAGGCGGTTCACGCGTTCCTCTTTCTCCTTCGGCACGGCCTATCGGCTTTGAAAAAAAAAAGAAAAGGAAAAATCCTCTAA